CTCATGGTCTAACTGCTGTTGTTTCATTGCTGCTTCATGCTATTATTGATTATCTTTCAGTTCTGCTTCTTTCTGTAATTGTTTATCTCTCAGTTCTGCTTCTTGCTTGCTGTTTCATTGCTGCTTCTTGCTGTTTCATTGCTGCTTCGTGGGCGCGTGCTTCTGCTTCATGAGCGCGTGGTCCTGATGCTGGCTCCCTCGCTGTTATCTCTTTTGCTGTTGATATGGACTGGATTGGCTTCGTGGCAATTGATGCTCCCCGGCACGTCTTGACAGTTATTGGACACTGTCTTCTGACTCTTGTAACACACTGCCCTTGTATTGTCTCGTGATCTGCGTCTGTCGATGATACTTAAGAGACTAGCATTAGTTTATGCTCATTCAGTGCATCTACTATGCCTAAAAGATTTTATACAATGTAATCCAATAATCTACACTCAAGTTGATTATTTTCTACCGATCACTATTCTCTGCTGTTCACAGTTAGTGCGTATCACTGTCACTTAAATTTTCACCACAAATTGTTAATAAATGTTCAGTCCTTATCTTGATCAGCCAGCCAAGAGTTTATATGCGATATTACCAGTGAGATAAGAAAAACTATACTATATAAATGTAAATAAAAACCGCATAGTGAGTTTATTAGAAATGAACAAGTTATCACGGCGGTAATGAAAACTGCCTTTAATGCAAATAGGCGTGAATGTTTTAAATGAATCCTGTCTTAACGGTAGATTAAATAAACAAGACACCCCCCCCCCCCTTCCCTCGAAATGTACTGTTTTTATCATTATGTGACATGGTATATTCAATGTTGTCAACTATTTCTTATACATAGGTTTTTTTTTCGTGGAAAAGAAAGTGATGGAACTAACCAGAAATTATATAAAAAGAGGTGGGAGTACTCGCGATATTTTTGAGGTTTGAGGTTTGAACATCATGGCACCATAAGTGCTCCGTTCTTCCTCTAACTTAAGTCTGAGTCTGAAGAAGCTCAGCACAATGCATAGGCTCTGTAGCACCGGCGAAGATCACGAAATACTTTGGGTAGATTTGTAACTCCAATTTTTGCCCGGGCAGCGCCCTTAGGCCCCTTTTTCTCTATTTCCAGCTGCTAAGGGATCTTTTAGGTGCGCACGGGCGTCTGATCTCACTTTCCAGAGATCAGGGAATTACTAAAAGTCCAAGTCCACGTAAAATAAAATCCCAGCCCTTACCGGAAATTAAACCCGGAAACTCTAGCACTCGAGTCGGACACCATGCTTCGAGACCACGCAGTCCCCTTACAAGCAATAAATGGTTAGATTAGGCAACCGCCTGTACCTGTAAACCTTGTAGTTCTACCGCTGGTTTTGGGAACAGCATCTGCAGAGTGTAAATCCATTGCTGGAGTGACAGTCTCTGCAGCATAGTTCAGACACAAAACAGGTTGATACTTTATCGTTATGAGGCTGGTTTACAGTAGAACTGAAGAACAGATACCTAACATATGTGCAAGTACTGCGTACCGATACGTACCCCTAGAAAGAAAGCCCAGGATTCTGCCTATTCTCCTTTTACCCTACTAACCACCATTGGAGCCTAAGCCCTCAACCAACTCATGCTAAGTCGTTCTATCCCTCGGTAATGCATGCAACTCTCCCTATGTTCTCCCTGTCTTTTTCACCTCACTTTCTAGCTCCCTTCTCCATGTGTTTTTGGTCTTCCTATATTTCTATGGCCCTGTGGGTTCCAGTGTAAAGACATTCTAGTTATATTGTTCTCAGGTTTTGTCAGTGTGTCCTGTCCAACGCCAGCGTTATTTCTTCAACTCTTGATCCACAGACACTTGTTTAGATCTTTCTCATAGCGATACATTAGTGATTCTATCATACCATTGAATTTCCTTTTTTCTACGCAGACACCAGTTAATTAATGCTTGTAGTTTATTTGTAATTGGCTTAATTGTTCTTCATGTTTCCACTCCATACAGCAGCACCGATTTGACATTAAAATTAAAATTTGTAAGTATCGTGTTACTTTTAATTATTTTGTGTAACTTCACAAATTTCCTAGTGCTATGAAAGCTCCTTTTGCCTTTTGCATTCGTATTTTAATATTTCTGTCAGTTCCCTAATCTCTACATTACTGCCCAGATAGGTGTACGACTCTACGTCTTGCAGTGGAATGTCTTTAAGAGAAACCACATTATTATTTGCCTGATTTTTGTCTCATTTTCTTCGTCCTACCCTTTTAAATTCTGTGAAAGAGACAGAAGAGAAATATCATCATAGGTTCTGCCTATGCTATTCAAATTAAAAAAAATAAAAAAATTAGGTAGGTGCTTTGCGTGAAAAAATACTCTAAACATTCAACCAGCGTTCTCGAAGAGGGAGATTAAGTTATAATTGTGAGTAGGTTATATGCACCATATAAAATCGCTTAGCATTGCGGGCCACCAAGATCACTGAATAGGACTCCTGCAGTGTGGATACGATCAAAGGAGACAGACCTAAATATTGTCGTCTACCGGCAAGCCAATGGGCGACCGGGTCGCCGATGCAATGCAAAAGTTAGTTACGTGTCCTTTAAGGACGCTCGAAACCAAGGCATTGTGATTTACTGCTAAATCTGCCACCACTAGGATCGAACCCGGCAGCACGGCATTACGAAGCACGTTCGCAACGCCCAAGTCATAGTCGTAGACTTTTTTTTAAAGGGCAGTTACACGAAACGGTCCTTGTCTTTTTGTTGACTCTATATTGGCGCTATAGTCAATTATTAAAAAATATCCGTATGCATATGGATTCGAATTCAAGACGTTGGGGCCAGTAAGCAATTATCTAGCCCCTGCGACTCCACGGTTTAAGTGCCTTTTTTTATGTTCCCACTGAATATTCATGCGCGCAGCATCCAGGCTAATAGCAACATAAACACGGCGACCATAAGGATTGCTTGCTCGGAGAAATGAATCTCCCTTGGAACAAAAAATGACCCGGAAAAAATATTTTACAAAAAGCAAAATTTTCAATTAAATAAATAATTTTTTTTTTTTAATGACAAATGAACGTTATCGGAAGTCTTCATCAGAATAAAAAAAATGCAACAAACTACAACTACATCAAACAAATGCATTTAAAATATTTATACAGAATGAAGTCCTCTTTTTGCCGAATGACACACACTGAAGCGGTTTAATTTCTTTTTACTCTTTCTGTGGCAGGCACCACTAATCAGCGCATTGTCATAAAGACAACATTTCGACAAGAGCTAGGTTAACTTATTATACATTTTGTAGGTAGAGTGATAGCTGTCTCAAGGGGGTAAGCTTTGTTTCAATGGGAGATGATGAAAATATGATAGCTGTCTCAAGGGGGTAAGCTTTGTTTCAATGGGAGATGATGAAAATATGATAGCTGTCTCAAGGGGGTAAGCTTTGTTTCAATGGGAGATGATGAAAATATGATAGCTGTCTCAAGGGGGTAAGCTTTGTTTCAATGGGAGATGATGAAAATATGATAGCTGTCTCAAGGGGGTAAGCTTTGTTTCAATGGGAGATGATGAAAATATGATAGCTGTCTCAAGGGGGTAAGCTTTGTTTCAATGGGAGATGATGAAAATATGATAGCTGTCTCAAGGGGGTAAGCTTTGTTTCAATGGGAGATGATGAAAATATGATAGCTGTCTCAAGGGGGTAAGCTTTGTTTCAATGGGAGATGATGAAAATATGATAGCTGTCTCAAGGGGGTAAGCTTTGTTTCAATGGGAGATGATGAAAATATGATAGCTGTCTCAAGGGGGTAAGCTTTGTTCAATGGGAGATGATGAAAATATGATAGCTGTCTCAAGGGGGTAAGCTTTGTTTCAATGGGAGATGATGAAAATATGATAGCTGTCTCAAGGGGGTAAGCTTTGTTTCAATGGGAGATGATGAAAATTAACAATTACTGTTCATCACATACGTCGATCAAATTAGCCAATCAACAAACACCGGTGAAGGGGACAACATCGGAGAATGACTAAATGAACTGCTTTTCGCCGATGACCAGGCAATCATAGCACAACAGCGGTACAGTTACAAGAACATAGTAATAAAAAAGGAATTACCATCAATATCAAAATTGATAATCACTAGTTAAAGCAGACGAAGGAGTTCACATATATATGGAGCATTTTTTTTTTTTTTTTAGATCATGGAGAATTAATAAAGAAATCCAGCAAAAATGCAATAAAATAAATCAAGTTTTAGGCCAAATGGCACCAATTTGAAATGCAAGCATGTGAAATGCAATCACTACAAATGATTAACGCAACATTCTTACCAACGCTATGTTATCAATGTCAAACATGGACACTATTTTCAGATGACAGAAGGAAAATAGTCACGGCAGGAATGAAGTGTTTACATACTATGCTATGTGTTACGAGGAAAGATCAACTTTGGAACGATGATATCGGAGAATAGTTGTCATAGAACCAATATTGAACCTAGTCAGTAGACTATAAATAAAATGGCTTGACAATGTTACAAGATTGACATCAGACAGAGCACTACAGAGAGCAATGTTTTACAGACACATCGGTAACAGATCCTAAGGTCGACAACGCAAAAATATGGACAGCAGAAATATCAGCGATACTGAAAAGTACTTTATATGAAACGAACAGGAGGGCCCATTCCAGAGATTTCTTTCTGCCCTGACGCCATGAGGCATTCCAGGAGTAGAAGAAAGAAGACGAAAAAGAAGATTATGATAATAAAAACAATAATAATGTTGTACAGTAAAAACACAAGTAATATGAATTGACTTAAGACAAACACGCTGTTAACATGAATAAAAAGTTGGTCCAAGCAGGAATGTATTAATCATAATTAATCTTTAAGACCCCAATTAGTGCGATACACAATTGTTTTTTTTTTTTGTTTTTTTTTTTTTTGTTACTTGGGATTTATTTTAACGTGCAATTATCAATAAACTAACTGTAGACAGGCAGGCGCACACATTTACAAACATAGTTACCTCTGCCACCGAATGAAGCGCCAGTACCGTAAGAGGATCCATCATCGACGTTCTCTTGATATTTACGTTACAGATTGTCACGGCTGGAAAAATTGCTGTGGCTTCTTGTTTCAGTGTGAACACGGTGTTCACTGGATAAGTGTAGAAGTCCTGCATGGTGATCACAAACTGATAGGCTGCAAATCCCAAGCCGACCACAAATATCACTAACCACACACATCGTTTCAATGTGTTGCTGTTGGAGACAACTCGACCTATACCATGCATGGACGTGCTGGCACTAAAATCTAGATATAACTGCTTTAACGATTTTGAATCTGACACTGCTGCTTCATTCCCTGCCATTTCCACTTGAAGAAAGTTGAATTAATTTTGAAAATATGTGTCTTCTATCTCAATAGTTTTACTGGGATTTGTTTATGACTGTGAAAAAAAAAATTAAAACGACTGAATTAATTTACAGTGGTCAAGGGAAAAAAACCTGGATTTGTGGCAGAGTACTGGCTAGATTCTTACCTGCTGGACCGAATATCATACGTCCGAATCTGTACTGAGATCACGATTTTTTTTTGGTTCGAACTTGAGCTTACCTTCCAGGCTGACCGAGACTAAAGGCGCTATGTAGTATAACTGAAAAAGAGGGCGGCAGGCGTGATGTTGATCATATCATCCACAGAGTGACGACTGGTCTTTACAGTAAGAAGTCTGGCATCAAATGCTCATTTCACCACTTTTGTGTATTTAAAAAATATATACATATATATTCTTAGAAAGCTGCTTACTGCCGTCAAGGCACATAGCTCATTGGCAGCTCCATAACTGAAACATCTATAACTAAACTTACCTGTCATAGACGTCATGTCTGCCGTAACGGCATATGGCTCGTGTTGTAGGCTCCTGACAGATATACATTACTAAACACACTAAACAAAAACACACAGAGAGCAGTCAACAATCTTTAATGTACAGGACAATATAACTGACGTCGTTGACCTCAAAAGTCCTGTGCATCCTTTTCATAAACAAATTCCGTGAGGGCTGTACAAATCATCTTTCACTTCTATCACGTTCCCCTGCATAGTACCCGGGTTCGAACCCACACCGCTTCTTTTCTCTGTAACTGAACTTTACACAAAGACCCGGGAGCGTCTGCTGAGTGCGGGGCAAGTGAGTAAGGTTAGATTAAATCACAACAACAAATACAAACCCATCTTAGCTACAAGACTAACTATAATACCTAACTAGCTACCCACGGAACAAGCTACACAAAAAACTTATCTCTGTCGCGGATGTATAACAGAGAGGTACTGCTACAATATAAGGAACACATTGTAATACAGATTATTGGTCACTATGTTCTAAACACAACACATTGGAATCTTACTGTCAAACTACCAACAGGTCACTACAGCTTTCTGCCTTCTTTTATGATTTCACAATTAAAAGCAGACTGTTCTTGATTATTACACCCAGTTTGAGAACAGCTGCTCTAACGCATCATTAGCCTGACCCATTGACGTCAGCAGCACGACTTTCAGCTGGAGCCGGTCGTGTCCAGGCGCGTCCAAATACCTAGGCGTGGTCGAATCTGGGATCTATCTTCCTGTCGGCCGGCTAAACTAAGATTTTTTAATTTGTTTAATCTCAGGATGTCTACTCTTAGGTAAAATCCAGAAGCAGACAAGCCAATCGATCGATCAAAAAATCTGTGCCAATATGGGCGCTAACATAAGTCACAGATCAAAGTTATTCAGTCATTTGAAGTCTATTCCTACCATAAACTCATTTATTTTGGTTCTCATGTAGAATGAGCTGTCAAATGCCAACATTCAACCTCCCCAGTTATCTGGATGTAACGTCTTTATGGGTGTCGGAAATCAAGCCGCGTTTGGTGGATCATCAGGGTTAGTTCAGTCATTTGCCATTATCCTGAAAACTCAAAGCGAGTACTATTGTTAAAATGTAGGAAAAGCAATCTTCTGCTTGATTGCCAGCAGATGAATCGCACATGCCAACAAAATTCGATCAAGTATTTATATGAAACTAGAAACTCCTGGAAAACCTTCCACAAATGCAACATTTTGTGCAGTTGTAATTCAAATGCTATTTCATAATGCGCTAGAGCATTGCAAAGTATGCACACAGCATAGCCTTGTTTCTTTTTAACCCTGCACTGTATATAACAGCAGTCAGTATAGATACATTAGTTGGCAGTATACAATTAGAGTATTGGAATTCCTATTAAATAGATTTTACTGTGATTGCAACAGCCAAGCACAACTTAGGCGTGCCAGACAGTAATGGCTTCCAATGCACCGGCAGATTTCCCTAGAAAGGCCAGAACAAAAACACCAGATTTAATTTTTTTTTTTCTAGTAGGACGAGTCAAATAACACAAGATTAAGTTATTTTCCTAATAAGACGAGAGAAAAAACACATCACTAAGTTCTTTTTCCTGATAAGACGGGAGAAATAACACAACAGTAAGTTCTTTTCTTAGTGAGACAAGAAAAATAACACAACACCTAAGTTATTTTCTTAGTAAGATGAGAGAAATAACACAACACTGAGTTCTTTTCTTAGTAAGGCGAGAGAAATAACACCACACTAAGTTCTTTTCCTGATAAGACGAGAGAAATAACACAACACCAAGTTCCTTTCTTAGTAAGAGGAGAGAAATAACACCACACTAAGTTCTTTTCCTGATAAGACGAGAAAAATAACATAATACTAAGTTCCTTTCTTAGTGAAAGGAGAGAAATAACACCACACTACGTTGTTTTCTTAGTAAGAGAAGAGAAGACAACAACAACACTAAGTTTTTCTCTTGATAAGACTATAGAAAAAACACCACACAAAGTTCTTTTCTCAGTAAGACAAACAAACAAGCACCGTACGATGTTGAACTACAGACTAACAATATGTCCTCACGTGTACAGCAAGCAAGAAATGACTATCGCAGGCGGAGGTCACATAATTATGTATGTGGAAGAATCGGGTTATAATCAATGACATTTTAGTGTGGAATATAGATGATGAAAATTTGATGACGCCATGAAATGTCTGTAGGCTATGAGATGGCATTAGACAGACTCTATAGATAAGTACATGAAAGTAATGGCTTGATATCGGGTAAGTGATTACCTTATTGTAGTGAGCATAAGTTTAAATAGAGGTGGCAGAGACGTGGTTATAATCAACCGTAGAACGTCTAAACCCTTAAGAGTAACATATTGAGTCATACAGGGATGTGACTTATCACCACTACTATTTATCACCCACATTGACATTATATGTGTGGATGCCTAGCCCAGTAACGAAAATATTGGTAACATCAACGAGTTACTCTTTGTTGATGAACAGTCCTTAACAGTCCTTTTCCACACCTTTAGGTCTATAGAGCATATAGGACTAGCTGTATTTTTATATACCTATCGGCACAAGATGGGTGATATGGTCAGCATCAAGTCTAACAGCAGATACAGCCATACAATTGCAACAATATCTAACATATATGAATGAAGAATAGCAAAAAATGAGACAGGAAGAAAGAAGAGTCGTCTAAATATTGTATGCATCATATACGTCAGTTGTACCTCACTCGGACATCACACAGAGTCATCTAAATATTGTATGCATCATATATGTCAGTTGTACCCCACTCGGACATCACACAGAGTGTCAGTGTATTGGGTGCCTATGTGTGCATCATATATGTCAATTGTACCTCACTCGGACATCACACAGAGTGTCAGTGTATTGGGTGCCTATGTGTGCATCAAATATGTAAGTTGTACCCCACTCGGACATCACACAGAGTAATGAGCACCCGGTGACACAAAGTGCCACCACGCGGATAAGGATCACGCGTGCAGAGGTTCCAGAAACCCAATTCAACCGTTAGGCCATATTTATTCCTCGGCTATATTTAGGATCCCGACAAAAGCCAATGTGGGGCTTCGAATAACGAGAAATTGCATCCCACATGGCATGACTAGTACACTATATGTGTACATGTATGAGTGTATTGGGTGCCTATGTGTGCATCCCACATGGGGACGGCTGCATCTAAATTTTGCAGTAGAGTGCAAAGGTATTAAGCAGGCATCATGTATATGGTAACAACATTAGGCAAAGATTGATAGTTTAATGGAACAAAAATTCACAAATAAAACCAGTTGCAGGAAAGTAAACCAAACATTGGGACAACCCCCATCAGGACAAAGAAACCTCTCATAAATAAATAAAAACCACATCCATTTCCCCCTTATGCTACAAGTGCCAGACATCTCACTCACAACAAACAAGATAAGAAAATTAGAAACCAGGGAAATGAGATGCCCGAGAAGAGCTGCAAGAGTGATCAGAGGTGAAAAAAATCAGAAATGAGGTGATACGAGAACAATCTGACACAGAACCAGTTATGAATTATATGCTTTGGCATATATCATCATCATCATCATCATAAAGTGCTTGCCGACCAGCCTGGGCGATCATTTCTTTCCACAATCTGCGATCCGCAGCTGCGTATATTAGTTTATGTTTTGACACATTCTCACGCAATGACAAATGGCCGTCAAGAATCTTCTTGCTTTGTCTTCCTCTGTCTCTCTTTCCTCAGATTTTACACGTGTTCACAACATGCTCTATTTTCTCTCTTCTCATAACAGGACCAAAAATGATGACTGTCGTTTTCTGATGTTTGTGTTAAGTTGTCTCCGAGCACTCGCCACTTTCAAAACATCTGGGTTACTTTTCTCACATACAAACACTCACACACAAACATAAACACATTGTCTCACTCACTAACACATTCACTTAGGGAGAGAGGAGTCGCAAAGAAGGACAGAAAAACAAAACAACAACAAAAAACAACGACACACACACACACAAATACACCGAGAGAAGATCCTTATTCTTATCGAAGATTTCAACTTGGGTTCTCCACCTGATCATATTCTGCAGGCCTGCTGACAATATTAAATTGTTAAGAGAAAACTGGCCTTAAGAGCAAACTGCTCAGAGCAAGCTACGGGGAACCACAAAGAATTGCAACTAACGCTAATTCACAGAGGCAGCCATCGTGACGATCTGAACAGCATACGAAAATGTTCGCAAACAAGAATAACGTCTTTATGCTCAAACATGTGTTTCTTATAAGCTCAACTGCTTGAGCTAAAATGAGTTAAAGCGACAGCTATTTTAGACTGAGAGTGAGAGAGGGGTAAGAGAGAGACGGAGAGAGAGAGAGAGAGAGAGAGAGAGAGAGAGAGAGAGAGAGAGAGAGAGAGAGAGAGAGAGAGAGAGAGAGAGAGAGAATATTTATTTCTAGTTTGCTAATCAAT